TTCCAGTTTATCCAATTTTTTGTTTGTTATTGGCGATTTGGTGACAGAGATAGAAGAACGGCCGACGGGAAAAAAGTTCGGAAAGTAGTGGAGGAGGCGGATGCCGAAAAGTCATTTGCGTGAATTTTTTTGTGATTTTTTTTATAAATAAATGAGGGGATGACACGTGTCTTTTTATTAGAAGGAGAATATCCGCCAGCAACTGGATATCCTCTCATTATATATAAGATTTATAAAATATTATTGTCCAGTAGACACAATAGCAAATAAATTCTTAATGATTTTTATTATTATTTCCTTTTAAAATTAAATTTGTCACCTGAAGTGATACATATTACTAATATTAATTGTTATTATCATGTTTTACTTATACATTTATTTAGCTTGATAATATTTATTTATTTTATATTTTATATATTTAGTATTTGCATAAAAAAAACCACATGACCTGAAGTCAAGTAGAGATAATAAATATTATGAAGATGTTAAAATACATCAAGAATCCAAAGAACGAAGAACACAAAGGCAGACAAGCTAGCACGACGTGCTCGAAATCAGCCTTACGATGTGTATTATGTAAACTCGGTTCCCCCGATCTCGCTTCTCGAATCGGTTTAGGACCAGAGGCTGTTGACAAAAAAAAAAAAAAAAAATACATCAAGAAAATTTTTTTGTCCTGTAGACACAAAAACATTATCACTCACAAAAACATTATCACTTGAAGTGATAATATAATTTGAGAATTTATTCAAATTATATCTTATCTTTCTGATTTTATTTTAAACTAAATTTGTCACCAGAAGTGATAATAAATGGTATATATTATTAATATTTATTTTGATTATGCTCTATTTATTTATATATATATTTTTATTTATATTATTATTATTCTCTATATGAATATTTTAAATTTTCATAAAAGATTACAAGACCTGAAGTCTGTAAATAAATTTTAACTATATAGAAAATAATGTATATCAATGTATAGAGATGCTAAAAAGCATACTCTAAATAATATTGTCGTATTGTCCTGTAGACAAAATAATCTTAGACATTTTACATTAGTTTGAGAAAATATTAAATCATTGATGAAAATGATATCTAATTGGTTATGATCAATTCCATGACGTGAATGTGATATACAAGTAAATGGTTAAAGAGGTTATTGATTTTATATTGGAATTCAATTCGAGATAGATGAACCTGAAGTATCATCATCTCGAGGGGGAGAATGGATGAATCCCACAATCCAAACTCATAATCCAGAAGATTATACTCAAAGATGAGTGATCTTGATGAATCATATATAAAGTAATTCCAAGGAATTTCAATATACAATAAATGAGGAAAAGTTAAATAGATGTTATGTAGTAAACCAGAAGTTTACTGAATTTAACATAATTTGGCATGAACTGGTAAACCATTCCAGTTCAAGAATTATGCGAAGTAAAATACAATATGTAAACATTTACTGAAGAACTAGAAGATTCTTCTTAATAATTTCTAATGTGATATTTTATCACAAGAGAGTATGATAATACAACAGTTATCACTAGCCAAAATAGATTTTAATTCAATTCATTTTCTAGAGAATATACAAGAAACATGTGGTTTAATAACCCATTTTGTGGACTAATCATCCTCTATAAGAAATTTCATTGTGTTTTTATAATGCATCAACAAAATAGTTGTATGTATCAATGAAATAAATTTGCAACCTGAAGTTTGCGAGATGACTTAGTAATACTAGTGAAATCACATCTTAAGTCTATGGTGAAAGAAAAACATGTTTGTAAGAATAAATGTTAAACATCCAGTAGAAAATGTTCATCATTGCACATAATGCACAAGCATTAACTCGCATAAAGCCAACAAGTAACTAAAAGTTCTCCCCATCAAAATTAGTTTTGGGTCAGAAACTTTTGGGTGTGCAACATCCACATTGCTCCACCACAGCAATATAAGATGGATCTTCAAAGAGATTGTAGATGTTGGATATGAATCTCCATTGATAATATCTAGAGCTATCCCTCAAGGATTTAAGTAAGGCTCGATTTATAGACTACCATGTTAATGGATAAGTCTTTCCAACATCAGGGGGAGAAAATAAAAGGCTGGAAAAGAAAAGTAGTTTGAATGAATTATAATTGATCTTCGGACTATAGAATGTGAAATAGAAGTCCATAAGATAATTCATTCACAAAACTTATTGTATCAGTTGCCAGATACATTTACTAACCCAAATATAGTGATTGAATCACTTACCAGCTTTAGGGCCTGATTGGTTCTCCCGCTACCACCCGCAAACGCAGCGTTTGCGGTTCGTAGCGGTTTTCGGCGGTTTATAACAATCACGACAACCGCTTTGAATCGCTCTTACCACTCTGTACCGCTCTATATCGCTGAAAATCAAAAGCTCCTTTCCGCAAGCGTTTGCGGTTGCGGTTGCGAGCGGTTGCGGGTGGATAATTAAAAAAAAAAAAAAAAAAAAAACACAAACTTATATAAAATCCGAAAATAAATAATAATATTTATTAAAAAATAAGATTTGGATAATAAAATCACAATATAAATAAAAAATTAGTACTTTTAGTCAATATTCATTAAAATCATATAATACTTATATATTTATAAGTTCTACAAATCAAAATTCTCTTCATAAATATTCTTTAATACATATATATCTAATAAATAAAATTGTAAAATAAATTTAATTTTCACATTAAATATATATTTTGAAAATAAAATCACATTTTTATTTAAATTATAGAAATTAAAAGATAGACGTAAGTATTATACACATATTATTATTTATAAAAAAATATTTTTAATTATGTTGAACCATAAATTTAAAATTTTCATTTAAAATATTTTTGATATTTTTATAATTATATAATGTGTTTATATTATTAATTTATTGTTTAACCGCTATTGCATCCGCAAGTGAACCAGTCATAAGTAACCCGCAAACGCATCCATTTTCAATTGTTATGCCAGTCGTACAAACCGCTTAATAACGCTACTAATCACAACCGCCCGCTTCTGCAAACTCCCGCACCCGCAACCGCAACCGCAGCGGTTAAACCAGTCAGGCCCTTAGATGATCTAATAAGAATTGATGTGTCCGAGAAGGACAATATCAAGCTGCTAGTGAGTCTAAAGAACGCATGAAGCGTGATAAACTTGATGGTTCCAAATGTTAGAATCCTCGGAAAAGTAAAAGGAGCATAAATTGAACAAAAAAATGTGAAGAATTAAATGAACAAAAAAATGTGTTGTTATATAATAAGATATTTAACGCTTATTAATTAAAGTTAACCTAATTGTTTTCCTGGTTTATACTGGTTTGTTAATTATTTCGCCTTGACCAATTTTTTGCAGAAACAACACAAATTTTAAAAGGGCAAAGCAACATGTTTTATGTCAACGTTTGAACTTGATGACAACCACACAAAGTGCTTATTTAGTGGGTGACTTTTGACTTGGTTAGTTTAATTTCAGAGGAAAAAATTCAGGTTTGATTTGCAAATTTAATTTAATTGGAGGGTTAATTTGCACAAACCTCTTTATTGATCTATTCAACTACTTAATTCAATAACACAAGATTTCAAACTCTTTTAATAAAGAAATTGTAAATACAAGAACCAATAACACTAGAAAGTGTTTAAAATATTTAAACCAATAACATTAGATTTGGTTAAAAATTTCGAAACCATGATTAAATAACAATGGATTAAATGATTGGATTTAAACTATATTAAAAATCATGATTGAATAACGCCCCTTAGATAACAGAAAAATACTTTTTAGAAGAGATGTGGAGTATATATGCATGGGAAAGCAAAATATCATTACATAAATTCAGAGCAATAAACTAGTTAAAACAAAACCTGAAAAGAAATTCTTTTTCTAAAACATCACTTGATTCGCTCATGTCGTTCTATTGATAACAAGTCAAAAATTAATGTAGTGATAATGAAAATTAAGTTAACAATAATGATAAAATCAATAATTATCAGTTTCATTAACGAAAAAATAACATACTTATTGTTCTTTTAAAAAAACAAGAACCCCTAAGATCTAATGAAGTGATCGAGAAAATTTGAATCTCACAAAATTAACAATATAGGCAAAATCAATAAGTATCAGTCTCATTAACGAAAAAATCACACATGTCACTGATCGCGGGATCAGTTCTTCCCCTTTCCTATCCCTGATTCTGCAAGTGTACAGGTCAGAAGTAGTAAACGAGTATCGAACACAAGGACCAAATTGCACACTACAAGCTATGAGTTCGAGATCGAGCTAGGGCAAAAGTATGGGTTTGTTGAGTGCAGTAAAAGTAAAGGCATGCAAGAGATAAAAAGGAAAAATTCAATAGGAGAGAAAGCTAAGCAATAGGATTTTGAGATAAGCAATTCAAGAAGCATGAAATCAATCAATTAGGGTTACCGCACTTAGGTGCTAATCTAGAACTTGAAACACTATGGTATGATCATTCCACTGTCGAGGCTCCGACCCCTTTGTTAATCTACCTAGTCGCTAAACTTTTGGTATGTCCCTAGGTGATTAAATCAAGCATTAGTTCGAATGAGTTCAATTGTTCACAACCTACAAGTAGATCAGCTGTCGCAGTCTAAAAGAGATTGTCCACCAAATACTAGTTCAGGCGAATGATACAGCACTGTCGAGGCTCAAATCAACCTAAAGGCATATGCTAATTGGCCAGATTAACAACAAGCATTAAGTATAAGCAAAGATGGAGATTATAAGTAAAACCCTAATTGTGATCAATCATCAAGCATACATGAATGCTATCCTTTGACTTCCTATCACTTAACAAGTAAACTACTCAGACATAGAGAAGGAACACGAATTCATATTCATAAGAACAGAGATTTGAATCCTCTCTAGAAAGAGTAACAAGCAAGAACAAAGTAAAAGCAAGCAAAACTTTATTAAGATGTAAAATTGATTGTGGTCTCTCTCCTTTCTTTGAGTTACAAGGCTAAAAAGAAGTATTTATAATGCACTAAGTATGTAAAGGCGGCTAAACCTAATCTGGCTAGGGCGGCACCGGCTTTGGGCTTGAGTTGTGCGGATTGGGCTTCAAAAACGGCTTCGGGTCGACCGCGGCGTTCGGACGGTCGGTCGGGACGATCGGCCGGACAGTCGGGTCTTGGCCGTGGTCGGATCGATCTTGGCCGGATGTTATGACGGTCGGCCGGCGTGGTCGGACGGGTTGAGATTTGACCGATGAAAATCCTCGGCCGGACGCGAGGCGTTACTTCCCGGGTCGACGGAACGTTCGTGCGTGGTACGTGAGACGAGTCGCGCGGCCGCGAGGCGTTACTTCCCGGCTCGCGCGGCGTGATCGTGCGCGGCGTGGCATGGGCGGTTGTGGCGTGGCCGACCGCGGGCTTAAGTTTCCCGGGTCGTATCGAATGATCGGCCGAGCGGTTTTGGACTTTGGCCGAGACTTCAGACGGACGGATACAGTTTTGGCCGAGCGCGGAACATTCGTTCCTCGGCCAGCCGGACTGCGCGGTTTGGGCGCTGATTCTCGATAGAGCCGTCTGGAGCAGTCTTCACTCTTTTGTTTATAACTCCTTTTCTACTCATCCAAATGAAGCCATTCCAGTTGCGTTGGAAAGTTAACTCAATCAGAGCACGCAGGGAACTGGTCTTGATGAAATCCATTGAGTAGATCTTTTTCTAGCTCCATCCAAAGTTGATGCAGGGGCATTGAACTGGTTTAGAGTCTGATATACCTCTATTTTACCTACTTTGGACAAACTGATTGAACTCAGCAAGCTTCTCTCTTGATATGGAATTGACATACCACTGAGGTGGTGGTGATGATGGTGGTGATGGTGGTTGATTGACTCCATGAGGGGCAATGGGGAAATCGAGCCTTCCTGAAAAGTTGGTGTATCTCTTCTTTGTTTTCACTAGTTGTGAAAAAGAACTCCACTAGACCATGTTTATCCCAAGCTTCTTCAAAAGTGACATAGAATGGAAGTGATTTCACCTTAGCATTGAACTCTTTAAGCTTCATGGGGCTTATCTTGTTGGGATCAATGGGATCATACTGCCAAGTATCTTCTTCTTCAGTAGGTGGTGATGGTCTTTGCATTGCTTCCAGTCTTGGAAGTGTAGAAGCTTGACTTCTTGGTGAGAAACGAGGGTCTCTAGGGCTTGGTGTATCCATGCTCTGTTTTGGGGAAGCATTGATGTCGATGCTCTGCTCTTCATCTTCATCATTCAATTGTTCCTCATACTCTCTTTCTTCTTCTTCATTGTCCTCATGGACTTGAGTAGTGCTTCTTCTTGTGATGGCATTGCAATAAAAGGGAGGGTGGTTGGGTGTTGGACTCCTCTCTCTCTTGTAATTGGCATGAGATGATCCTTCAAGGGCTTGTAGGCGGTTGTAGATTGATCCAAGATGTTTGCTATTGCCATAGCTAGTATCTTCAATTCTCATGCTCTTGTTCAGCAACTCTTGATATTTGGAAGCAACATCAAGCTTAACTAGGGTCAAAGATCGATCATGATCCTCTCTTAACTTCTTAATGTCTTCATCAAGCTTGATCACTTGCTTGAATAGGACTTCAGATTTGTTTCCAAGGCTCTCATGGATGAAATCGATTCTTCTCTCCATCTTCTTTGTACTCTCTTCTTGATTTCTCAAGTACTCTTGAAGCATATCTTCAATCTTGGTTTGGCGCGCAGCTTGATAGCTCTCCCTTGGGAAAAGTGGTGTCTTGTTTATGTCTGGTGATGATGGATGGTGTTGTGAATAGCTTGGGCGTGGTGGTGGGACATAAATGGACCTTTGGCAAATCTGTGAGGAAAGCTCCTTTGTATCCATTCCAAGTCTTGAAAGCATGTTGGGCATTGAACTTAGCCCAGTCTTTGGCTTGTCCAGCTAGTGATAGTTGGAAAAGTTGTATCTTCTTGGGGTTGTCTCCAAGTCCATAGTCGTGGCAAAGCTGCTCAAAGTTGCATAGATGCTCCTTTGCACATTCTGAAGTAGAATTGTAGAAAGGATTCCTCTCCACATGCTTGATTAGCTCTTCATTCAAACTTCAGGATGGGGTGGTATGCCTCCCCATTCTTCTTCATCACGCTCTCTCTCCAGCTGATGAGAGTAGTGGTGGTACTTGGATTTGAAAGGTGGCCTTGCAAATCTCTTCAAGAAAGCTTCTCTAAAATCGATCCATGACTCGATTGTAGAGTGGTTCATGCTGCGCCCAATCTAGTGCTGGTCCAGCTAGTGATGTGCTGAATAGCATCATCTTCTTCTCAAAGTCAAAAACTCCATAGGAATCACAAAGATTGTCAAAGTGATCTATGTGCTCCAGCGCATACTCTGAAAACAGATCATGGAATTGATCTCTCTTCACGAACTCGATCAGCTCAGGGTTAATCTCCTCTTCTGGTGTGGCTAGAAGGTGTCTTCTTGGTGTGATGCGGCTTGGCTAGACGTCTCCAGGTCGGCTGCTTCAAGGTAAGGAAGAAGTTTCTTCTTTGTCTTCAAAGTGGATAGTTTGGAGGACTATCCCATGAAGGTGGTGGTGCTTGAGGGCTTGACATCTCTTGTTCGCTCAAGAGGTGCTTTGAGGTGGTATGTGGCGAATTGGCATCGCCTTTATAGGGGAAGAGGCTTGTGGCTCCTTCTCCATATCTAACTAGGAAAACCTGAAAAGCTAAAAACAAAAAGGAAAAACAAAAAAGGAAAAACAAAATCAAAGAAAAAAGGAAATCTAACAAAAACAAAAAGGAAAATAAAACCCTAGACTAGCTCTCTTGCAAGAGCTTGTAGGTGCGAATTGGTCCCCGGCAACGGCGCCAAAAACTTGATCGCGGGATCAGGTCTTCCCCTTTCCTATCCCTGATTCTGCAAGTGCACAGGTCAGAAGTAGTAAACGGGTATCGAACACAAGGACCAGATTGCACACTACAAGCTATGAGTTTGAGATCAAGCTAGGGCAAAAGTATAAGTTGGTTGAGTGCAGAGAAAGTAAAGCATGCAAGTAATAAAAAGTGAAGAATTCAATAGGAGAGAAAGGCTAAGCAATAGGATAGTCTTGAGATAAGCAATTCAAGAAGCATGAAATCAATCAATTAGGGTTACCGCACTTAGGTGCTAATCTAGAACTTGAAACACTATGGTATGATCATTCCACTGTCGAGGCTCCGACCCCTTTGTTAATCTACCTAGTCGCTAAACTTTTGGTATGTCCCTAGGTGATTAAATCAAGCATTAGTTCGATCAAGATCAATTGTTCACAACCTACAAGTAGATCAACTGTCGCAGTCTAAAAGAGATTGCCCACCAAATACTAGTTCAGGCGAATGATACAGCACTGTCGAGGCTCAAATCAACCTAAAGGCATATGCTAATTGGCCAGATTAACAACAAGCATTAAGTATAAGCAAAGATGGAGATTATAAGTAAAACCCTAATTGTGATCAATCATCAAGCATACATGAATGCTATCCTTTGACTTCCTATCACTTAACAAGTAAACTACTCAGACATAGAGAAGGAAACGAATTCATATTCATAAGAACAGAGATTCGAATCCTCTCTAGAAAGAGTAACAAGCAAGAACAAAGTAAAAGCAAGCAAAACTTTATTAAGATGTAAAATAGATTGTGGTCTCTCTCCTTCTTGAGTTACAAGGCTAAAAAGAAGTATTTATAATGCTCTAAGTATGAAAGCGGCTAAACCTAATCTAGCTAGGTCGGCGCCGGCTTTGGGCTTGAATTGTGCGGATTGGGCTTCAAAAACGGCTTCGGGTCGACCGCGGCGTTCGGACGGTCGGTCGGGACGATCGGCCGGACAGTCGGGTCTTGGCCGAGTCGGAACGTCGTGGCCGGATGTTATGACGGTCGGCCGGCGTGGTCGGACGGATGAGATTTGGCCGATGGTTTCTCGGCCGGACGCGGGCGTTCTTCCCGGCTCGGACGGAACGTTCGGCGTGGTACGTGAGACGAGTTGCGCGGCCGCGAGGCGTTACTTCCCGGCTCGCGCGCGTGGTCGTGCGCGGCGTGGCGTGGCGTTGTGGCGTGGCCGACCGCGGGCTTAAGTTTCCCGGGTCGTGATCGTGATCGGCCGAGCGGTTTGGACTTTGGCCGAGACTTCAGTCGGACGGATACAGTTTTGGCCGAGCGCGGAACATTCGTTCCTCGGCCAGCCGGACTGCGCGGTTGGGCGCTGATTCTCGATAGAGCCGTCTGGAGCAGTCTTCACTCTTTTGGCTATAACTCCTTTTCTACTCATCCAAATGAAGCCATTCCAGTTGCGTTGGAAAGTTAACTCAATCAGAGCACGCAGGGAACTGGTCTTGATGAAATCCATTGAGTAGATCTTTTTCTAGCTCCATCCAAAGTTGATGCAGGGGCATTGAACTGGTTTAGAGTCCAAATCTCTGTTTTGCTCCATAATGCACCTTTTTACCTAAAATGACTCTTTGCACTATAAATCCATAAAAACTACCTTTTAACACAAGAATCCACTAGAAAACCATAGTAAAATAGCATAAAAAGTAGGTAAAATAGAGGTATATCAGTCACACATGTTGAAAGAAAACTTGTCTGTCTCATGGAGACAATAATCTCTTACGAGCAAAAGTTCCTCATTTTTACCGCTCTAGCCCAATTAGCCTATAGATAACCAAAAACTAAATGATCAAAGCACATGAACTTTAAAAAAGTTCAAATATCTAAAAACTCATGGTTGTATGCTTATAGCTTCATTGTTCATTGTGTTATGTTCTTCCTAACTAAGAAGCTCTTGTTCATGTCCTACAGGATCTTCTAGGAATAGGTGAATATCAAGAAAGACCCCACTGAGTTTCCTGGATGATCAAAATATTTTACCACCTGTGTTGTCTCTGTAGTTTTTCTGCATACCCAGTCATAACGTTTAACGAACCTCTGATGCAATTACCCATTTTGTTAAAGCAATTATGTATGTTTAATAGTATTCACTACCCATATGAGGACTTGCGTCTAATACAAGATGAGACCAATTATATATTTTAATGAGAATTGCATAAGCATGCTGCAATTAACTAGTCGAGACACTATATAGCAAACAACAAAACGTTTGGTGATTTATAAACTTTTTCTTTAATAAGTTTCTGCAGTTATATATTTCAAACATAAAAGAAGGAGATATTGAGAGAGATTTTTTTGGGATTTCATTTCCTAATATTGGTTTCTTTTATTTTTTAGAATCTAGAGATAGAATGTGCATTCTAGACTTTTTAGAACATGTACAAACTTTAGAATTTGCATTCTTAAAATCCTAGAAGGCTCATTCTAAAAGTTTTAGAATATGTACAAACTGTAGAACACGAATTCTAAAATCTTTAGAAAGTAGATTGCAGATTCTAAATTTTTTAGAACATGTACAAATTTCAGAACATGCATTCTAAAAGTTTTAGAATATGTTCAAACGTTAGAATTCATATTCTAAAAATTTTAGAACGTAGAATGCGGATTCTAATTTTTTTCGAATATGTACAAATTTAAGAACATGCATTCTAAAACTTTTAGAATATGTTGAAACGTTAGAATTCACATTCTAAAATTTTTAAAACAATAACTAAACATTTTTTTTCAATTTTTGTTTTTACACTTAAAATCATAAAGGTGTTACTATGATGTTTTCAATTTTTATTATTTTTATTAACATTTTCCTGAATTTTTAAAAAATTATTTGATTAATTTAGTAATTTAGATAAGGTTAATTTAGTCCAAAAATGAACAAAATATTAAAAGGTGTAGATTACCAAACATACATTTGAAACGTCCTTTATTTCCAATTTTCCCAAAAAAGATCTTGAGAGGATTTTGGATGATTTTTATGGGATTTTAAATGACTTTCTTAAATGATTTTATCATTTCAGGTGATTCTCGTGGGATTCTTCTTCTCTTGCTATTTCACAAGACGTAAGAGGCTATGCTCAAGACCGATGCAGAGACCTTCTTCATGTTCTTCTTTCAGTTTTTTCATTCTTCTTTGTGTTGATCATATAATCAAGTTAGTCAAGAGTAAGCAAGTAGATTAAGTTAGTTATTTATCCAAAGTGGTATCAACGAGACTATATGTAAAGAGATGCAACTCTACAAGTGTTTGTACGAGTTGTCTATTTAAGTAATGCTGTCTTCTCTGTAAAAACCCATATTAATTTTCATTATCAATAAAGAAACAGCTTGAGTGTTGATAAAAGAGTTTATTTATCGGAAAGTAAAAGAACCACTTATATTCTGTTTTCCTTGTTTTTTAAGAAAACCATGTTTTCTTCCAACACTTTGTTCAAAGTCACACAGTACGTTGTACCAACAAATTAAAAACGAAACAAAAGTGTAATTCCTTAATCCAATAAAGAAAAAAAGTGCAGATGTTTTGTCCACAAACAAAGAGCAAAAAAAAAGACCAAAAAGAGAAAAAAATTAAAGACAAGACAAAGTAAAACAATGCCGTTTCAGTCATTCCTTATTTAATACAGTAACACTATATTTGAAAAGATATTTAGAAATCTTTAATTGAAAAATCACTTCAAAATCATCTAAAAATATTAAAATCCCTTGTCCAATACACCCCTTTATAGTATAAGTAAAGAAGGCATGAAATCTTCATAAAAGGAATCGGATACTCCCTGCATTGGTGTGAATTCTTCCACATCTAAGTTTCTTGCTACCAGTAGAGGGAGAGGTGGAGGGGTGGGGATCTCGTCTGTCTAATCCACCAGACTTGGTCGTTTCTCTCTCCATATTTGGCGTGTCAGTGAGATCCGGGGGTTTCCTCTCCGTGGATATGCTTGGCCGAGGTTTCGTTCGTAGTGGTTTGATCTTGGCGGGAGTTGGATCTGTTGGTTTGCGTCATCTTGGCGTTCCCCGTGCTGTTGAGAGGGGTTGGTGGTTTGTTGTTGTCGCTCTGCCTGTGTATTCACCAAAGGGGATTTCTGACGTTCAGGTTCCGTAGATTTGGCAGTTTCAGCTCGTTTTGTAGAAGGTCTTTCTCTAAAAGGTCTCCCGTGTCTATCTTGGCATTGGTGGTAAGGTCTCTCCCTTGATGTTGCAGCATAGTTCCTTGTAGGCTTAAGAGGAAGCGGGTTCTCAAGGCATAGTTCCACTTCGTGGTTCAGGCTGTAGCAGTAGGAGCAGTGTCTTCCCAACTCTTCGTATTCAAAGGTAACTACCGCCTCCTAGCCTCCTTCAAATTCAATTATTGCTTCTTTGATGAGGGGTTGTAGTCCGTTGATTTCCACTTTGATTTTTGCCGAGGTTTTGGTAAGGATTTGCTCTTTGTAGTCACCGATTTCTCGGCCAATGTTGCTGAGAAGCTCCCGTTTCCAATAGTGCAGGGGGATGCCTTTGAGCTGGATCCAGAAAGGGATCTGAGAAGGGAACGTGGATGAGATGATGGGTTCCCATTTTTGGAGGATGAGCATCCATCTTGCGTATTGGTAAGGTCTGTTTTCCAGAACTTTTTCCAGATCTTCTGCATAGTCAAATCTGAACTGGAAGCAGTGGTTTCCTAGGTCTGAACCCACAGCTCTTCCTCGAAGTTCCCAGCGGCTGGAGATGAAGGGAATCATTGATTCCATGCGTTGCTCTCGAGGGTTTGTTAATCGTCCAATAAGCGTTAGAGAGTTTTGGCGTATGAGATCAGTTGTATCTAGGGCTGGGCACGGGTCGGGTATCCGGGTTTTTGGGTGTACCCGTAACCTGACCCGCCTTGCACAATTTTGAAATTTTTGGACTTGTACCCGACCCGTTTAAAACGGGTACTTGGTTAAACGGGTACTTGATAAATTTTACTAGACCCGCAAGTAATTCGACCCGCCTTGCTACTTGCAAAAATTTAAGTCGATGGGCCTGATTTGTGCCAAGCCTATTCGCTGACAACATGTAATTCCTTCTTCCCTCTTTTATAGACACAAAGTGTGTAGTGTGTCAACTTCTTAAAACGATGTAGGACTTTAGAAAGTTAAGTTATTTAGTTGTGGGCCTTTTTATTTAATAGAATGGGCTTATTTTAAATGGGTTGGGTTTTTTTCGACACTTTTATAAGATTTGCAGTATATATACATCTTAAATATAGATATTTGTATTATAGAAACGGGTACGGGTAATAACGGGGCGGGTAGCTAAAATAATTATGATACTTGCGGCCCGACTTGTACTTGCGGGTATTTAAATTTTGATACTTGTTACCCGACTTATTTCATACGGGTACTTGCTTCAATAAGGCAAGTACGGGGCAAGTAGCAAGTATCAGGCAAGTAACAAGTACTTGTGCCCAGCCCTAGTTGTATCCATCTCTGGTGCTCTTATGTGTTTCCTGATCGGTGGGTTTGAGGTAAGGTCGACTACCTTCCCCTTTTCTGCGTATGAAAATCTTCTCGCCATAGTTTTCGCAAGATCGGAGACGGAGATAATGTCATCCCTCCAGGACGTCACAGTGCAATACGCAAATGTCAGTGACCCAGTGGAAAGAGCAGCTCGACTACAACGAATTCTGGAGAGTGAAGCACAAGGTCTAATGGCCACCACGGCAAGATCTATGTTCATAGCCCAGACCACTCGCCAAACGCCGACGAGTCATAGCCCAACAGAGGGACACCTCATCCGACTGAGTGAAGAGAACCCTACAGCAGAGAACCAACAATCAGAACAACCTCTCACACAACCCCTGGAACAACCAAAAAGGCCTCGCGGCAGACCACCATCAAGGAAACACAACTCAGAAGCAGGCACTAGCAAAAGGACGACAAAGCAAAACAGAGTCTCACCATTCAAGAGAATCTCACCTCTATCCAGGGTCATCCACAACCGCACTTCCCCAATCACCCATGGACATGGAACTCGACGCAGCAGAGTAACTCTCCAGAGGGGTGCTTCCACCTCAGACCCACCATTGGCACTCTCACCACCTCTCACCTTGATCCCGGCGATACGACGAGCTATGAGAAAGGACAAAGCGGATTTTCAAAATCCGTTAAATCCTCTTCCTTAAAAGTCCTGAGCTGGAACTGTTGCGGTTTGGGAAATCCCTCAACAGTTCACAGGTTAGAGGAGCTGGTCAAGAGTCATGCACCAAACGTAATTTTCCTAATGGAGACAAAGAACTGTGAAGAAGAAATCAACAAACTTATTCCACTTGCACAGTATGTGTCCAGGGCCTTTGTTCCACCGAATACTCCTGGAGGTGGCGACCTAGCTCTTTACTGGAAACAGGAGATCCCTCTCCAAATCCTTTTATCGTGCAAGTCCTACATAGATACAACAATCACGTACAAAGGCGTTAACTTCTTCTCGACCTTCATCTATGGTGAACCAGACCATTCACAACGCTATCTATTGTGGGAGGAACTTACAAACCTTGGACTCCTTCGTGACAAACCCTGGTTTTTATCTGGAGACTTCAACGATATCATCGATAGCACCGAGAAGTCAGGCGGTCCACAACGAACAGAAGCTTCTTTTGGGAACTTCCGAGCTTTCCTCTCACACAGCGACCTGTTTGACCTCCAACATACCGGGAACTTCCTGTCCTGGAGAGGAACACGCGGCATCCACCTAGTCCATTGTAGACTCGACAGGGCTATGGCTAACAGTATGTGGTTTGAGCTATATCCCACTAACCGCTGTCATTATCTCGACTACGAAGGCTCAGATCACAGGCCCCTTTTGTCAGAGTTCCAACCTGAAAAGAGGTATTTTCATATACGATAGGGCAATGCGACATAACCCGGAGATTTCTAAGCTGGTCAAAGCCACATGGAATAAATTCGAGAACGATCTAGTGGAGACACGCATTGCCAACTGCAGAAAAGCAATAAGCCACTGGAACCGAGAGCATCACACGAACAACCGGAAAGCTATAAATGAGGAAAAAGCAAATCTGGAAGCAGCAATGAGTGCAACAAGTACTAACACTTCTACGATCCAGGAAAGTAACAAAAAGCTAGAGGAGGCTTACCGAAAGGAGGAGGAATCCTGGAAACAACGAAGCAGATCCCTTTGGCTAGCCCTAGGTGATCAAAATTCATGTTACTTCCATGTTGTAACCAGAAGTAGAAAGGCGATCAACAAGTTCTCGGTCTTACAAGATAAGGATGGACTTCTTGTCTATGAGGAAGAAGACTTCGTTCGTGTGATTAGTGTCTATTTCCAGGACATCTTCATAACGAGATCGCCGGATTGCACAGCCACAGTCTCTCAAGCACTCATACCTTGCATTACGGAGGAAATCAACAACACCCTCATCGCCATCCCCTCTAATGAAGAGATCCGCCTAGCTCTGTTTGATATCCATCCAGACAAAGCTCCAGGGCCTGATGGTTTTTCTGCAAGTTTTTTCCAAACAAACTGGTCAGTTGTTGGAGAGAGATTAACAATGGAAATCAGAGATTTCTTCGTATTCAGCATTCTCCCTAAAACGATCAACGAAACCTATGTCCGACTGATACCGAAAATCCATTCCCCAAGGCTCATCTCAGACTACAGACCTATTGCGTTATGTAACATTTTCTACAAGATCATCTCAAAGGTCCTAACTAAACGGCTACAACCTATCCTACCATTGATAATCTCGGAAAACCAGACTGTCTTCGTACCAGGAAGAGCGATTGCGGACAATGTCCTGATAACACACGAAACGCTACACTATCTCAAGGTCTCAAAGGCAACAAAGTATTGTTCCATGGCAGTAAAAACTGATATGAGTAAAGCCTATGATAGATTGGAGTGGAATTTCATAGCAACGGTTCTAGAGAGAATGGGGTTTCATGCCAAATGGATAAACTGGATTTTCTAGTGCATTTCTACGGTATCCTACTCTTTCCTAGTCAATGGAGCAGTTCAAGGCAAGGTCTTACCTCAACGAGGGATCAGGCAAGGCGACCCCTTATCCCCTTTCATCTTCATCTTGTGCGGTGAGGTCCTCACTGGTCTCTGTAATAATGCCCAAGTGAATGGCCTACTCCCCGGAATCAAAGTGGCAAAAGAAAGCCCTCGGATCAACCATCTCCTCTTCGCCGATGACACTATGTTCTTCTGCAAAACGAAGGACCAAAACTGTGTTACCCTGGCTACGATCCTGCGGAAATATGGAGAAGCATCAGGACAACAGATCAATCACCAAAAATCATCCATATCTTTCTCATCAAAAACACCACAAGACATAAAGGAGAGAGTTAAACTTACGCTGGGAATAGAGAAAGAAGGAGGCCAGGGTAAGTATTTGGGGCTTCCTGAGAGCTTTGGACGGAAAAAGAAGGACTTGTTCTCCTTGATAGTCGACCGCATCCGTCAACGAGCAGTCAGCTACTCCTCACGAAGACTATCGACAGCAGGAAAGGTAATCCTAATCAAAAGTGTCCTCTCAGCCATACCCACTTACTCCATGACGTGCTTTAAACTCCCTGTCAGTCTATGTAAGCGAATCCAGTCTACACTAACCCGGTTTTGGTGAGATTCAACACCGGGAATGCAAAAGATGAGTTGGACTTCCTGGGATAAGATGACAAAATCCAAGATATCCGGAGGTTTGGGTTTCCGTGATATCCAAAGCTTCAATGACGCCTTACTAGCTAAGCTCAGTTAGAGAATCCTAAACAAGCCAAACTGCCTCTTAGCACGGGTACTACAAGGTAAATATTGCAAAAATCAACAGTTTCTAGATGTTCCTACCTCCAATTCATCATCACATGGCTGGAGAGGAGTCCTCATCGGAAGAGACCTCTTAGTGGAACAGCTCGGCAAGACAATTGGTAGTGGACACAACACCTCCATTTGGAAGGACTCATGGCTGTCTCATACGTCACCAATCCGCCCCATTGGACCACCGACCCTACAAAACAAAGACGCAATGGTTGATTCCCTGATGATTGGCTCAAAGTGGAACAAGGAGAAAATTGAAGAGCTCTTTCCACAATACTTACCCCTGATCATGAGTATACGGCCGAGTATAAAAGGAGCACAAGATGCCTATGTTTGGATACCGTCCAAATCAGGTGTGTACACGGCCAAGACTGGATACCACATCGCCAGAGCCCTAAAGGAAAACCAATCAGAAAACCAGCAATCGTCAATAAACTGGAACGCAGATATCTGGTTAGGGAACTTCTCACTCAAACTCAAGATCTTTCTTTGGAAAATCTTACAAAGAGCCTTACCGACGGGAGAGAATCTCCTCAATCGAGGAATGTTTGAGAATGTTTGCTGCGCTCATTGTGGTGAGCTAGAAACCACGGAGCATCTGTTCTTCCTCTGTTACTTTGCCCGGAAAGTGTGGTCTCTAGCCCCTTCCACCACTACTCTAGATCTATCCTCCATCAGCTTTGAGGAATCCATCAAAATACTCAAACGCCTAATCTGCCTACCACCATCTGGAATCACCTCGGGTCCGCTCTTCCCTTGGATCTGCTGGACGATCTGGTCAGCCCGGAACTATCGTATTTTCGAAGACCGGAGTTTCTCTCCGGAAGACACGGCTACCAAAGCAATTCAGGACGCCCGGGAATGGCAAGAAGCGCAGAGTTTGGAGAAATCCCCTCCAACAAAACACAGCTACCCGACCAATAAACGGAGAATCCACCCGATGACAACCCTCTGCTACACCGACGGATCTTGGTCAAAGGAAACATCGATAGCTGGAGCGGGATGGGTCTTCACCACCAGAGAAGGAACGCAGATTGACTCAGGCAGCATGGCTGAGCAGCACACGCTCTCCCCTCTCATGGCCGAAGCCATCGCCATCAGATCTGCTCTAATGCATGCGCTGGAGAAGAACTTCCTCCACCTATAAGTTAATTCAGACGCTCAGGACTTGGTCCGAGCCCTAACATCGCGAGAGAACATCACGGAAATCTACGGACTCCTCTATGATATTCAATCTCGAGCAACGTTGTTTGTTTCAATCTCCTTTCGCTTCATTCCGCGATCGGAAAACACAGTAGCCGATTCGCTTGCCAAGGCAGCTGCTTGTAATCTCGGTTATCACCTAACCGGCTCACTGAAAACCACGGGTTAATGTTTTAATTAATATAAGTTGTTCAAAAAAAAAAAGGAATCGGATACTATAAATGCTCTTAATGACAGCAAATAACTACATAAATAAATTTAAATATTTGGACCATTCACATTTTCGAGACTATTAACACACACTATGATTGTATCATTGTATGTGATTAACCATGTGAATCTTAATTTTATACACTTGGAACGATACTATGTGAAAGAGTGGTAAAAAATGTAGTATATTGCATGAAAACTAGCCTCAAAATTTTTGATAACCCTACTAAAATACCAAGCTTGATAATCTACAGCAAGCTGATCAGATAAAGTTTATCTTTTGGACTTTTTCGTATCACTAAAATAAACCAATTTGGAAGCTAAAACAAAGATAATGACAAAGAGAAACTGCAATTAGAGAGAAACAAAATTTGAAAAGGGAAAACCAGGCTTTTTATGACTGAGAACCTCACGTTATATTAATCAAATCCGTGTGCATGTGGATTCGCCTGTATTATTAATCATAATTAGTCATAAATTAAAGAGATACTAGTACTACTTTAGAAATAACAAAATCCAGCCTGCCATTCTCTTAATGACACATTGTAGATGTCAAAGAAAAAATAATGACACATTGTATGTGATTCGATATGTAATAAGATACGACTTGGCAAGTACTGTACAGTTTTAATATGTACCATGAGCATGTCTATCTTTATTCAAATTCCTCAGTGCACAATATTATTGGTATTTAGTAGACATGTCTTATTTGTGTTATACTATCACAACTATAATATGATTGGTATACTTTGTCATTATTTAGCCATGTTAAAAGATGTTGTAATTACGATTAAAAGTAGTATTAGATTTAAATTATTTTTATATGTAACAAAGAAGGTTGAGAAAAGGGTAGACCATACATAATCGTAATTTAAAAATTTATTTTAAGATATATATAATCATGATTTTAAAGAATCTTGTAGTTCGGTCAACCTTTTTATTTTAAATTGAGAAAATGTTATCTAAATTAGGTACAACAATTTTGTTAATATACTCATTGATCGATACCAAACAAATACTATGATATATAGCTTCTATCAATTTATTAACGATACACGAATTAAGACCCCATTCAAAAATTATTTATTGGGTAAATTTAGGCAATATACATATATAATCTGACAATTAAATATATGGTTAAATTAGTTATTAATTAAATTAGTATAAATACATATAGTGAAATCATACATATATACCCCTATGAATTATCATTTGTCAGATTAATACATTTCTACATGAACTATCATTTGTCAGATTAATATTTACATGTATTTATACTAATCTAATTAATACATATTTTTTTATAAAATAATATAACATTTAAATCATTACATGTTAACAAATCCTAACAAATGGTATAACATTCAAACTATTACGTGCTAACATTCAAACTATTACGTGCTAACATTTAAACATTACTTGCTAATATTACTTATTAACCAAACTAATAAAATCATGTTAACATTCAAATCATTGCATGTTAACATTCAAACAATTACATACTAACATTCAAATTATTACTTGCTAACAAATTCATTAACAATAATTTGTCATTATTTTTGTTAACAACGTAACATAGTTTTTCTGAACAAGATAATGTAATGTTTGTTAGCAAAGAATTTGAAGTTTGTTGGCATGATGATGTACTTTTTGTTAATAAGGTAGCTAAAAACTTGTTAGTAAAGGGATGTAATATTTTTTAGGGATCTTAATGCAATTTTTTTGTATGGTTTTTAATGTTTTCAGCGCCATATGAACAATGTCCATCTAAAGTTGTTAGAAGTATCCATTTAATTTTAACGTATATTCATTGCAATTTCCCTTATTTTTTTCGAAAAGATGCAACACTTGTCTCTAGTCAAACAAATTTTCGAAAAGATGCAACACTTGTCTCTAGTCAAACAAATTAATGGCTAACGAAATCATTCATGGGATGGGACAACTGTCATGACAACATAGCTTGTCATATTACATCACATATTGCTAAAATTCATAGTTTTAAATTTTAATACTGATAATTAGTACGAAAAAAATACACCTATATTACAAATACTTTTTCCGTTTCAAATTAGTTGTTATTTTGGCAAAATATATCTGCAAATATTTGGATGTATCTAAACGTGTTTTGCATTGCAGATAGCAGATACATTTTGCCAAAACGACAACTAATTTGAAACGGAGAGAATAATGATCTACTAAACAATGGATGTAAACCTGTACGCTGATGTGTCTTGGAAATTATATATTTATGAAAATCGCATATGAAAGTTCATGGTCTTATGGAGACATCCAAATAAGAAACAGAACTTTTCAAGGGTATATCCTCAAAATTAATCAACTGATGACGTATATCTTATAAAAATATTAGTTAATAATTTTGCTACTATAAGCGTATGATTATGTATCAGAAGTCAGAACAATATAAGGGCCGGAGTCAACAAGATCAAGCTCTAGACACTACAAAATTGGCATGCATCTAAAATATCTTAAAAAAAAGAATCGAGCTTTTTGTTATTCTAACTAATAGTTTATTCTGGATTGTTTCGTTGTTTTTTTTAAGTTAAAAAACATATATTAGCAAAAAATTGGTTTATTTTACCTTCTTAATTTGAAACAAATAATTTTCTATTTGAATTGATGAACCAAACTTCCTTTCAAAACTATCCCTTTAAGCTCAACTTAATTTTACTATTGATCAAAATTATGTGTTTATACAAAAACATGCAAAAAGTTAAAAGATACACAGTTTTTGGTGAAAAATATCCACATATACTCCATACTATTTACTACATAGTCTAAGTAACAGTCCAACAACGACTTGTAATCGATGTTAGCCCAAAATTGTTTTTTTTTGGAATAAAATTAGCCCAAAATATTTCTAGAAAACAAAACACGAAGTAAAAGATTATCAAAAACAAAAGATAAATTTTAAAGGGATAATATCAAATTACACTCTGAAAACTCTATCTACTACATTATTTGCAACTATTAAAAACCTAGCTAGAAATGAAAATCCTTTAACAAAAATAAAATAAAATATATAAAAACCTAGCTAGAAAAAAAGAACAACAAACAAACGCGTAGCAAAACATGCATAGAAACAAAATTATACTTTTTTTTTTGTTAAAGGGTTTGCTTTTATATAATAAAGAAGGTATAGTAGCAAATAAAAACCTTACAGCCCAAAAAAGAAAAGAAAAAGGATCGACCATAACCCAAAGATTGGGACCAGCAAAGGAGAATAGAATCTCCAATGGAAGAACCTAGTAAAGACAAAGCACGACATTTGTCTTTAACAACATGAAGAATCAATCTGAAGACTTGCTCATCAGAAAGCGAAATACCATCATAAAATCTTCTATTGCGCTCTTTCCAGATTTCATACACTGCTCCTTGCCATCCCTGGAGCAAAACTGACCTTAAAGAAGCATCTGAAGGACTGAGATAAAGCCAATGCACGAGTTGATTCCATTGAAACGGAACGTCCCTAATGTTCAGTTGAACCAAGATCTTTCGGCAAACTGAATTTGAGAAAGTGCACTCAAAGAACAAGTGATCACGAGATTCAGGTTTCGAACCACACAATAAACATATCTCTTCAGTGTCATATCCCCAAGTGGAAATACGATCAAGTGTCGGATTCCGATTAAGAAGGAATAATCATGTGGTTGTTTGATGACGCAGCAAACCAGCTTTATGCCAAAGAAGAGGTCCCCAAAACAGATCTGGCTTGTGACAACGGATCCCATTCGATACTTCCTTAAGACGAAAAGACTTCTGAGGCTTTTCTTTGATCGACCAAACAGGAAGATCCACACCAGAGAAACAAACAATACAGGTCAAGTAAGATTGCAACAGAACTTGACGTTCAGAACGAGCGGGAGGTAAAATCCATCCGTTTCCACTCCAAACACTCGAGACATAGCAAAAAGAGGGATACCAAGTCGAGGTAAAATTATACTTTCTTCATATTAATATGAATGGTTAAATTTTCTTACTCATAAAAAAAAACAGTAAAATTCAACTATGACCTTCATTAATAATGTTTTGAAAAATTACTCCTTCCGTTCATTATTATTTGATGTTTTGAAGTTTTTAGATAAATTAAGAAACCATTAATATTCAATTATTAATGTATTATTTCTCATTTTAAATAACTGTTAGCCAATAGAAATCATAAAATTGTATTCAAATTTACATTTTTGTTGCATTAATTAACTAAAAGTACATTTAATAGTCTAAAACATCAAGTAATAAGGAACAAATAGAAGAAGTTAAAACATCAGGTAATAAGTGACTGAGGGAGTATTTTGCAAGTAAAATGTAAAATGATATTCTTTTGTGCTACTAAATGTGAAGCTATGTTTATTGAGAAACAAAAACCATAAATCTAGAACAAATTATTAGAAGCTACACATGTTCAGTAAAATAAATAGTGAGTCATTAAATTAAAGTTTAAATGAATTTTAAGCTATTAAACTATAGGATTTCTAATAACTTCGTCTGTCTTATTCACTTGATGGAGCTCGGAAGTACATAAATACAAGTACAGCGCTTAAAGTGGGATTATCCATGTGGCTAATCATGTAGTTTATTAGTTTTGTAATGTTGGACTTACATTTAAATATCAGTTTAAATGAAAATAATGTTAATAATTTAATCGAACACGTAACCCTAATCTTTTCCAAAGGACACATGCTGACCTTGGCTGCTAAATCGAGATCTTAGGTATGT